TAGAGAAGTCCCTAAAAGGGAGCAAAGGAATTTAGAGAAATCCGAAAAAACTAAAAAATTTTGCTCATAATTGAGGCTTAGGTACCGTTACGGCAACGTTAGCAGAAAAAAACGGCGATTACTGTTTCTGAGATCTGCTAGACCAAAAAAGTGTTGGTTTTAGGCAAAAAAAATTTTTTAGACAGCTATGGTGTTGCACAAGTATTCGACAACAGTAACTAGCGTAAAAATTATAATCTCCTCTTAAAAACCTTTTTTTTTTTAAAATTTATTGGTATTCTTATTTGATTCCTTCTGTTCTGCACGTTCATCCTTTGTTTACGTCTGATAAGATGAATTTCTGCATAGCACCATCAATCAGAATTTTTCGTATTATCGATATGAAAGTATTAAAAAATTAAGTTATGCTCCTTTTGTTTTAATTACAACTCCTCTGCAGAATTTTGGACTGCATTTTAGCAAACACCACACAGTATTACGGTTTTCTATTCTACTCTAAATTTTTTCATCAACTTCAATGACCTCTACGTTCACTAGCCTTATTGCCTAATTCTTGCATATCAAGCGATGGAAGGGGAGAAGCGTAAAAGAAGCGCAAAAGTTTTCTCAAAACTTACAGAGTGATTTGAGTTCTGCAGTTTCGAGGTGAAACCACAGTTGTCTACAAAATCAAAATTTCTCCAATTACGGCCTAACAGTCTTATCTACGCTCGTACTAACCTGCGTCTTTCGCAATACTCATTTAAACGAGGGCTTTCTCGCTCTCGAGTCTGAAGGCTCTACATAAAATAAATAAAGTTATCACTTCTCAAAGCATTTTCCAAATCACTCTGCAAAGGATGTCTCAACGCTCTGCGAACTATTTCCTTTTCAAGAAGTGTTAAAGTTCTTATTGCTGTCTAACTAGTTGTCTGTTCAAAGATTCTAATCGCTTAAGGCTAGATAAGAAACGCAATTTTCAGTGAGCACGACCAAGGCCCCCTTGTCTAAATGAGCACCTGCTCCTTCAAATAATATGAAATTTTTTATTCTAAACTTGAATCTCTTCTCTAGTTCCAAGTTTTATGTTCAAAGTTTGTTCAAAAACTGTATGATATTACACGAAGCATAACAATCTCTGATTGTGTGAAAAATTGTCATTTCTATGCTCGCGAAAAAATTGTGAAATTTGGTATTGAACAATCATCCACTAACTGCGTTTTAATAAAAACACATACTTCTTCCTCCAAGCCAAGTCTTCTGAAACTAAAGGAGGAAAGGCTTTGACTAATAGGATGGAAAAGATGCCCATAGCATTAGAGAAGTTGAGAACTATTTTTAAATTCTTTTAAAAGGATCTTTTTATGCTTATATAATTGGCGCTTACTTAATAATTTGAGAACTCTATTTTCCATAAAAGTCAGTTTCGTAAAAACTATGCGGAAAAGTTATTTCATTCAGGTACATGACGTATTGTTGCTTTTCCCTAATGCTTTATTCTCTTCAGTGGGAAATCCCAAGCGCAGGGCAGGAAAGCTATAATTCCAAAGGTTTCATCTTTTTATTCTTTCTCGCTTTGCACTCAAAGGAAATTAAAGTGTGCAAAAATTGTCGCTCAAAAATAAAGAGAATTGTATTTAAACAACTTTAAATGCAGTCTAAATAGTTTGCAACAAAATTTATTTCAAACGACAAATTTTTATTCTTTTTTTAAGAAATACTTTTACCTTATCAAGTACCACTAGCAAGCCTTCAATTACTTATCAGTCTATTCACCATTTTTAGCAAATTTTTGTTCATCCAAATGTTTATTAAATATTTTTGATGTGAAGCAATTCTACTGTTTAATTTTTCCCACCTTTTTTAAAGACTGATTGCTCGGCAAAATTTCCACGATACAATTATAGGTAACAGCTTTATGAAACATAGTTTTTAAGGAACAACAGATGAAAAAGACATGAAGTTCCTGCATGAGCAATGAGAATACTGGAAATTTGAGTTTCATTACAGCTATGCTGTTGGGCTTTAAAAAGTTTTGTAACTTAGGTATACGAAAAAGGCAAATAAACTTATAAAGCGTAAATAAACTCTTTTGTGATTTGAAATTACAACTTAAAAGCACTCAAATTTTCTGTCACATCGTCTCAAATATATTTGTTATGTATATGTTGAGCGCTAAAGTACAAAGTACACGAGGAGTAAAACTGAGTAACAGTTAAATCACGATCAACAAATCCTTCTACGATGCAAGCCATGAAAATCAGGAATATATTATTTTGAAGACCGATACAAAAATGTTCAGAACCTGTTAAATTTGGCAAAATCATGCTAGTTTAATAAAAGTGCAGGAGTTTATTACGAATACCGAAAAATCACGATCAAGCTACAGCATAAATGTGTGAGGGAAATGCTAGGTTCCAATTTGGAAATCAAGTCTTTGAGGGTAGATTTTACTGTTATCAAGTCTAAAGAGCGAATATCTGGATTTATTAGAGAAACATTTAGAGCTTTGCAGTGAAAATCCTGCTTCAAAGGTAATCTAAGTGTTCTGCCTTTACAGCAACAAATAATGAATCTGAGACACTAAGATTACTAACAGTATTCCTTAATAAAATACTGTATAGCTTATTTTTTCCCCGCTCTATGCGTTTTATTCACATATTTATGCGCTCACGTTTAGCTGCAAGAGCTCACCAGAAAAAGGACTTGACAGTATAGCTCTAAAACAGTATTCTGTTTTAAACTTTATGAAGTTCTTGAGGATAAATAGACGAGTTATCTCATCGCTTGCTTGGACACAACTCTTGCCTGTACAGAAAGATGATCGAGTTAATTGACTGAATAAAAACACTTCAAATTTTGTGAAAAAGTACAGGTTGGAAAGGGATTTTTGCGTTGTGGTACACACTTATAATCACACCAAAATGATCTGTATTGAAATAACTAGCAAAAAAGTCTTGGTTACGAAGTCAGTCATGACCACATCTCAACCTTCAAACCTAACTTTGCTCAAACTTCTTTGATGTCATACTGAACCTTCATTTTGCGGCCCGTTACCAATCTTAGCCATCAGTGCTGATACTTCAATACCAAAACCTGCCAATTAAGCATTTCAATCTAAATCGCCAACGCGACCATAAACAGGAAATGCCTTCAGACTAAAGAGTAACTCAACAAAATCTATAGAGTCTCACGAGTCGCAGCATATCGTTGCTTGACAGTCTATCATAACTGCTTTCTCATTTTTAGCCAACTAGATAACAGCAATGTTATGAAAATGATAAAGGCGGGCAACACACAGCTGCCCCTTTACTTTCAAAAATTTCCGGCAACTTTATACTAAGAACAACAACCCAGTTTAGAAATCTAGGAAACGTTTCTAATGACGACCGGAGTCAAGTGTCAAACCACTTCTGATTCTGAGGTTCAACGAGTTCTAAGCGGTATATGCTTGATCGCTGAACTAGGTTTGAATGACTACAATTGTCCAGCTTGTGTTTGAAGTCGTACGAGTTAATGTCACATCCTACTTTGAAACGACTATCAAACTTAACCGGCGCTACTTTTCAACGCTTCAACCAGTGCCGCAGGAAAGTGAGGGTCTCAACACGAATTGGAGGCTGTAAAGTGGAGGTTGAGTTGCGGGTTTTGGAAGTACGGTGGTGCCGATAAGTTGAGCAGAGGTAGAGTGCGGCTGGAAAAATCCTAGTTGCTTGCGGAGTTGGTAGACGGAAGAAGAGGGCTGGAATGTGGCTGTGGCTGCACTGCGGTTTTCGCGACGCTGTAGTGTTGCTTTTGTGATTCATTTGATCACTGCGTCCTTTTTTTTCCGACAAGGTCATTTTTCTAGCCGCCTAGTCTTCTAACAGCAAGCCAAACTTCATCGTTGCACCTCGGAAAATTCTAAACTTGCAAATTAGGCTTTATCTCTATAGTACAAGTTAGTGCTGTCAAATATAGTCCACCAAACAGCTCTGGTGTTCTAAAGGGACACCAAACGTTTGAAATTTGTAAGTAATACAAACAAGAGTGCATTAATATCAATGATTTAGGGCGCAGTTATAAAGGCCACTTGCTTTAATCGTTTAGTAAGGGAAGCAAAAGTTTGTTATTTTCATTTTTCACAGCCTTTTAACCAATACTTTAATTTCAACGATGTTGTATACTACTTGTATGCTTCCGATAATAACAGACTTTTTGAAAATAAAAGAAGTGGTATCTCATATAAATTCTTTTAAAACTACGCTTCCCATTATGCAAGGCTAGAGGAGGAGAGAGGGAACTTCAACTTGTTGTGCCGGCAACATATCTTATTCAGAATGTAACTATTATTACAACGGAAGCCATTATGCCAAAGCAGTTCCACAATGTTGCTATGGTAGTTCTAAAAACAAACTCGTAGTGAATGAGGAAAATGACAGAACTTGCTAAATTTTTGATTGTGGGGTGGTTGTCAAAGTAAGTCCTCTAAGCATCAAAGCTTTTGTTTCCATACTGCGAAATGAAGCAAGTAGGTAAGTATAGTAAATATTGTGGTAAAACAGTGCTGCTGTCTGCGCAGCTTATATATCTAAAAAATTGACTGCTGGGTAAGTGCTAAACATTGTTTAGTTGTTGTTTCATTATCTCCTCTAAAAGATATAAAGTAAACTGCTTTGTGGTACGATTTTTGGACTTTAAACGTCCACTATAATATGCTGATGGGGAACTGGTACAGAGGGCGCCTACTGAAAATACAAATTTTTTTCCAAATGCCAAAGACAATTCTTTCGTTTGAAACAAAAACTGTTGCTGATTATTTAGGTGTTACAAGTGTACAATAACTTTTTTTTTTATCTTTTGGTAAGAACTACAGTAAAAACGATGTTTTTTCCCACATTGTTGAGCCCTTTTGAGTTATTACTGTTATTATTGACTTATGCCATCTATAATATACAATAAGGTAAATGGTCCTCAAACGGATAAGAATTGGAAAAAGAATACATTTTTAACTTTCTAAAATTTCTAGAGATGGAATTTTCATGATAGACAATGTAAGTATCTACGAAGATTTACTGCTGTGGGATACCACAACTAAATTTATGATAAGATTTCGCTCTCCGCCGGCGAAAAGTCGTTTGTGGAATGGATTAAAGGCACTGCTATTATTTTGTGGTAAATTTCTATTCATTAATGAATATTTTTAATGGCAAATTGTATTTCCTCAGTTGAGACAGCGTTTGGATCGGTTGACGTAGAGGTGACTTGGTGGGAGGAAGCAGGCGAAAGAAGTTTGAAAGAACATAAGTGCAAATTAAATGATGTCAGGGATTCAACTGTTAAAATACATATTTTAATTAAAAAAATTGAAGAGTCATATTGTAACATAAATAAATTTGCTGTGTAATGTGAGAAGGAAATCAGTTCTTAGGATTTTAGGCGAGTCATGTGAAAAATGTCACTATGCAAACAACGGGAAACTAGTGGTTGACGATGTTCTTTACATCTCTTCAAATCGTGACCACAGGTAATTGCCAGTAAATACAGTTCTCCTAGAACATTGCAGCTGCTGTTGCTAGAACATTTTTCTGCTGTATAACTGAGTCTCAATATCTATACAAATTCTGCACATACGAATATCTATTGCTTATAAATTTAACTTTCTATTTAATTAGAGAAGAAATCAGTTGTTTGGAAGAAAGTTTGCTTAAATTATCTGTTATCAGAAATTATGAAACAATGTACTGTATCATATCGCATTTTTAGTATACTGATGGATTTAAACTGCAGCTGGGATTTGGAAGCAAGCCCTGGAAAAACTCTTGCGATAAGAATATGTGAGAATTCTGTAGGTACATATGATGACCTGTTTGTTCTTGACATTGATAATGGAGCCAAAACTCCAACTAGGTTGAATCGGTAAGTAACGCTGAATAATTCTGGTTGTGGGAAAATTTCTAAATTATGAATTTTTTCTTTTTTTATTTTTAAATCCTTTCTGGAAAAATGCTGCACAGCGTTATTTGAAGAGAAAACTGTCGCCACTGGTCGGTCTGCTTTCTCAAAAAAGTTCTTTGTCGAAAGGAAGTATTACGAAGTAAATCAGAAGAGGTGTTTGGCAAGCTTTATAATGTTTAAGACATTGAGATGAAAAAAGTGCATATTCTTATCGATCATTATTTTAACTTGACTTGCCATCTACTGTTTTTGGAAGGTTTGTCAAAGACTAATCAAAAACTGTTTTCAAATTGAACAACGCTCCTTTCTACACATCGAATACTCATCATCGTTTCATGGATAACCAGCTCAAAAAATATGGCTAAAATTTCTATAGTTATTCGTCTTAAATTCTGCGGCTCTTTAACGAAAAAGTAGAATGGTGGATACTTTTTTTGGCATGCACAAAGCAAATTTTGCATTTTTATTTTTTATCAGTATAAAAAATTCAAAATGACTGTTCTATTGAGATCAGGTAAAAGTATTTTGTAGGTATATTTATTTATGATGCTGCTATTCTAGTGCAACCTTTCGTTAATAGCTCACCCACTGAAATAACTTAATGCTTCAAAATTTTGATGCGTCCGAGAAATGGGTGTTTGTAGTTTAGGAACTGAAAACAGTGCGGCTTTCAACAGTTGATTGTGGTGAGCAAGATTTATTTACCAAAATACAACTTTTTTGTTCTCACAAGTTAAAAATGGCTAAACCTACGCTAAATTTTTTTTAAACTTTTACCTCAGCTTGGTAGGAAGTTAATATAGCCTAATTTTCAGTAGGGTGACAAAGATGTAAACATTTTATCTTGTCGAACTAGCATAATTTTTTTAAAAAGTTTCCACCTTGTCGTAATTCTATTTTCAATTCTAAACCTAACAATTTTTCAATTCTTTTCCATCATTAAAAGTTGACTGCCGCACTGAGACTGTATTTCGGTAGTGCCCAGATGATTGGTTCTGTGAATTGTAACACTGACAATTGAAGCAGTTTAGATAGGTCGTCTAAGTTTTAGCCAAATTTATTAAATTTTAGGCTTTACAAGGTGAGTCGAGTGGTAATGAACTACAGAAACTTGTTTATTGAAAAAATTTTTAAAATTATTTTTTGGTTTAAGATAGATTTAAAACGTCATAAAAAATTCTTGTAATTCAACTTCCAATTATTTCACGTCCTCCCCTCCCCCTGCAAAAAAAAAAAAACAACTTTTTGAAATTAACTTCGATAGACCGTTTGTCGAGTTAGAATTTAAGCAGCTTGTTGAAGAGTTTTATTTTTATAAATATTGCACTCCCTCTTAGCAACTGTACTCGTTGTCATAAGTTAGAGATCATCTCTCACTGATATCATTTGATATCGTCGCTGACGGTAAACAGAAAGCAAAGATTAACAGCGAATAAAAATTGCGTACATTGTTGATCAGTCTCACAGACCTGTTCTCCCTAATAGCCACGCTATATTATTGAACCTTCTGAGATTCTCTACTTCGTCGAATCTTCTATAAGTACGGTTCACGTACAGAAATAGTTGTTAGAAGCATTTAAAAGAAACAGTTTCAGAAAAGATATGTTACAACATTGTTTTACAGAGTTACAGTTGACAACGTCGGAACGCTCTACTTTGGTTCTCGAATTTTAATTGATTTAATTAAAAAGTCAAATGCATATCAGTACGGACGTTTCGGTTTACTCATCTATTCTACAGAAAGGCCTAAAACTAAAAGTTGCTCATTATTATACTCTAACAAACTTTACACAAGCGAATGTGGATGGTTTGAGAGTTTAAAAAAGCAAGCAACTTATGAAAAAAATCAAGTTACAGCTTTTCTATAATATTTGTTTTTTGTCTCAGAAATGTTCTTCAATAATTTTTATATAATTTGCTATTACAATAATTTATCAAACATAATACTACTTTGAAAAGTTCTTGAAGTTTTTAGTAATTTGTATATTGCATTTTCATTTTCCTAGTATTGCCAGTGGGCAGTCGAGTTACCGGCAAACACTCAACTGGTGCTTACAGTTGGCAGACTCGATGCGGGATTGTTGACGGGCGATAGTTTTAGGGTTATAGACTCGGCGACTGGCAGGTATAATTCAAAAACAAACTCAATTCAGTCTAAAATTTTTCTTATAAATTTTTGTAATGTAAAGTTTTAAATAAGCAATTTTTTGTTTTACAAATGATAAATTTTTTTGAAGAAAAATTTTACTCCAAATCTCAACTTTATGAAAAATCACATCTGCAATTCACGTAATAATTTAGAATCTATAAACCCGGCGGTGGAAAGGGTAATGTAATACACATAGAGGGGCCACGTTTTGGTGCAAGTGAAGTGACCTTCATTTGGGAAACCGACTCAGTTGTTGAATACAATGGCTTTAACGTCACTTATGGTACTGACAGCTATTAGACTTTTCTCTATATTTATTTCCTTACTGAATCATGTCAATTATAGAAAAACTCAAACTTCAAGAATAGTATTTTGGTAAATCTGGTTGGAACTATACTTTTTTGGGAGAAACAATAAATTCACGCCTTACTTTCATTTAGTCATCTTTGAGTGCTAATCTCTGAAAAAAAGTTGTAATTAAATATTTTTGCTGCCGAAGTTTAGTAATTATAACCGGATGTACGAATCACGTCTAAATGTCTGAACTTTATTTATTAACGGACCTAATCAAACAGTAAATTAAGACGGGATTCTGCATTTTCTTATGATGCTTTTAGGTTTAATAAGAAAAAAATCTTCACCGAACTCCTTTTAGAAATTGTTTCACCGAAACCGCCGAAAACGCTGCAGACTTATAATTCTGTCTATCAGTTGCAGCTGTCAACTAAAATAAATCTTATTGCCTTTTTTGTTCTTATTCAAATAAAATGTATTATCACTTAAAATGTGATGATAAAGAATTTTCTAGTATTAAGCTACTTTTTTTTGTTCAGCTTATTTGTTACGTTTTAAGATAAGAAGTTTTAGACAAATTAAACAATGCTATTTTTTTAACAGGTTCGGCTTCATAAACGGTTAAAATTTAATATCACTTAATAGACAGTCGTTGAAATGCAGTAACCAAAAAGTTATCTTTCGGGTCAAAATTACCTTGTTAATAGGCTGTAAAACGTCCTAGGTAATTACTGTTGCTGGCAGAGCGAAAATTACTGGTGAAACTCTGTCAATTATCCAGCATTTTATAGTTACAAAATTCATTTGGTTTGTATATATTTTAATTAATCTGAAATTTATAAATTGCATTTTATCTGTGGGATTTATAGTATACAGTTGTATTTGATTGTCTGATATGTGAAAATACAGTTTAAGTAAAAAATAAAGCGCATGTAAGTTGTATGAGATAACATAAAGTACCGTACCTATGCACTGTAAGAAAGTAAGAGTTAAACTGTCGATGTTAATGTACGATAGCAGAATTTCTACAGCCCTGACCTTTGACTGTCTTTTATATTGTTAATGACCAAAAATAAAAGTTATTGCTAAATTTTCATACAGAAAAATGCTTTCTCTACACTTGGCCATGAGATTTGAATGACTAACAGTTTCTTTGGCACAGCAATTTTTGTTCAAAAAAAAAAAAAAATTAATTAATTAAATAAATTAAAAAAATTCTAAGCAGAAATATTTTTAAATTTAGACAAGTAAAAGATGAAAACCGAAAAAACTTTCACTTATTTTGCTGGAGAAATTGTAAAGAAACTTTTTTGTCCTTAATTCAGAAATCAAAGATCAAAACAGCTAAATCAGATGAGGCGGCAGTAGGCCCTTTCAATGTTCTGCTTAAACAACGGAACAGTTATTAAATGGACGATAGTGAAGATTTAATAGCCGGTTTCACGCTGGTGGTGCGAGTCCCCAGACGTCGTTGCTGAATCAGCTTGTGGAATTGCAGTTTTTTCCTTTGATCAAAAAATTTAGCTAGATGATGCCATAAGTTTCAAAGCAGAAAGAAGAAGGGCAGAAAAACTAGTCTGTGCACCAGTACAGTATAGGTTTTATGTTACTGAGGCATGATAGTCGGGTAAGACATTTGGGAGAATCATTTTGTGAAGTTTAAAGTAGTGATATTGACGCACTGATTATTTGACGATGATGTTTAACAAACTATCGCTTTGGCGTGCACTAACGAGAAATTTACTGGGCGTGGTGTATGGCTAATGTGTTATCTGAAAAGACGATGACTTCACATGGATCGATTTAAAGCAGTTTGGACCCAAATGAATCCGAGTTGTTCGCTTACCCTTTCTCCTTCTTTCTTCCTCTCGCTCAGTTCTTAACCACTCCATTTATCTCATCAAATGAATAAATCTTGTCAAGAAATTCATCGACAGCCACTCTGTGAAGTGAAGTTTCGTGTGAAATGGGGAATTTTTACGACTCTTTGTAGATGAATTCCAGTGGTTGACGAAAGAACAGTGTCGCAATGGCGAAAAAAAAAGAACAGTGGAACATTTGACGAGTACTATGCCTAAAAAAGTTCACCAGTAATTCTAAATAAATTTTGTCGGGTACAGTAACTGTAAAGAAATATTTTAAGCTGTTAAACAAAAAGAAAAAAAGTACTGTTTATTCAACAGTGAAGTAAGAGGAAATACAATATGATTATTATTAAAGCTGGACCGGTTTTCTACCTACTGTAGCAACCATTCGCTTAGTCTACGGGCTTATCTGGATGCAGTGTGGCACATTGAATTATCCCCTGTATCAACCACTAGATTGCTAGTAAAAACCGTCCACTATGTTGCCACCATAAACGACTGAGACAGAACTACGATTTTGCCTTGTCACATGATCAGGTACTTATATTTACTGTACAAAATTAAGTCACTGGAACAAGCTACAACCTGCCCTATAAGAACTGGTCTTAACTTGACCACATCGAAAAAGTGAAACGTCAACGTTTGAAGATTGAATCATCATGTCACTGGTCAAATTCACAGGAGTTTCTACACGTCTAGCTGCTGTTGTTTTCTCGTGTGTTAAAACAGCTTTTCTGTTTGCTATGCTAATTTCAGAGTTCTTATAAAGTTTTCTTTCACTACACAGTTCAAAAATTTGTTTCAACCTTAAACTCTTTTCACAACTCAGTTTCTAATCGACTACTCCTTTTTAATAACCCATAGTTCGCTGAACAACTTATCAGTATTCGTGCTAGTCATACCAATTATTTTTCACCCTTGTTCTTTAAGATTACTCTGTGTTCACCTAAACGAAAAGAAAAAGATTCTCTACAAAAATGTTGGTCCAGCACAACGTGAAAGGCAATATGAAAAAAAACTGCACATTTCTTCAAAAGTTACGCTGGCTAAGTGTCAAAGAAGAGAATAAGATTTACAGTTTAGTAAATTAAGTTCTAGATGTAAGCTAAATCTGGAAAAGTCGCTTATTCGCTTATCCCAAGCTGGTGAACTAATATCTACAACAAATACTTGATCGAATCCGTCGGCGACAGAGCGTCATATCATTCAGCATATCATTCTTCTTCCTGCTATCATGCCTGCTTCAGCAATACAAATTTTATTTGCAGATGGCTGAGTGTTGAAAATTATTGGCCGGAAAATGTCAGTTTTACCAGCCCAGGTGCATCTCACACAATCGGCCATCCAATTACTCGCCTTTCTAAAGTGCCATTGTTCTTGTATCTACTGTTTTTTAACCGTTTTCTCTTTGAAAATGCTTGTGTGTACATGTTCTTCTTCTATTGATATCACATGTACAAATCTTCTTTCCTCAGTTCCATTAAGATACCATGTTTGTTTTTCAAAATGTACTTGGTGTGACAATCTTTTAACCGCAGTCTCAAGTGTGCCATGATTTGACTAAATGAAGGAAACGAGGTGTTTTCACTGTTGTCCGAATTCTGTCGATCGCAACAAGAACCTTTCGCTGATAAAAACCAGTGGTATTGCATTTTTTCAGTATTTATTTTTGCCTGAAAACTTCAACTGTAATTTCCGTTCAGAAAAATTCAGCGTAACAAAAAATCAACGAACGCGAATGTTTGGTACCGTAACAGTTGACGTTTGGGTGAAGATATTAATTTATCTTCAAATCACTGTTCTCGAAAATTCAACCATTTCACTGTTGTTGTCCACGTATTCCAGTAACTTGGGGGGCAAGTGTTTCATAATGTGAAATGCACTAAGCGTCACATCAGCAACATCATTCTTCAACATCTGGCATATAGAGAAATGTGTTTCCTTTTCTGAAACAACATGCATGAATGCACTAAACTTTTCGTTATACTACTAAATGCCAGGTGCGTTTACCAATATCTTGAAAAGTCGAGATAAAGGTTTCGGGTTCGGATGTGAATAGGCGTCATTTGCCTATTGCGTTATGAGATTACTGCATAAAGCACGGAAATTTTTTTGATAATTCAACGCGTTTTCCGAACAGCAAAATTGGCATTTGTTGCTAATTATTCCCGTGAATTTCTTTGGGGGCCCATAATGTTGTCTACGTCAAAAGCGAGAAAGGCATATTTTTAAACGATATGGGGATTGTACACCAAAAATTTGACGAAATGGGGATTGTACACCATAAATTTGTCATTAATAAGTTCAGCTACTGCCATCAATGCTTTCTTCAATATATTCTCCCCTGTGCGTCTGCAGCACCACCAGCACCGGCAGCAACAGCAGCAGCAGTGGTAGTAGTAGTAGTAGCAACAG